GTGACAGGGAAAGGAGGAGATGAGGATGGGGAGGATGAAGAAACTGAGTCTCTGCCGACCTCACAGCCTACTTCACTAATGCTCAATCACATAGACACTTCGATTAAAAAAAAGTTACACACCTCAAGTGTAATTAAGAAATGGAGATTGACATGAATATGTAATGTACACATTGCTCCACAGATGCCTGTTTTGTCCAACAGGCTGCTACAGACTTTAATTAGGGAGACATCCATTTTCATACAAAGGTAACTAAGAGTGACAGGAAATAGGAAACCTACATCATTTGTCTTCTGTGAACTTAAAAAAAAAATCAGTTGATTGTTTTTATTAGGAAGCTATTTTATGAGAAACATGGTGCTTTATCTTTTTGCTTTTACTTATGGTATAAATGGTGTTTTTTAAACACCTGTCCTGAAAATGCTATGATTTATCAATGATTTAATTGCTTATTTTAACTAATAAAATTCTGTTGACCAAAATGGTTACTGTGTTCTTCTGGATGAATTAACAACTATTAAAATTCTGAAGATAAAGTCCATTAATTTATATTCAAATTCAGCTGTCTCTTTCCTTCTCAATAACTAAGATAAGGGCACCAGCCACAGGATTCCTTTCCTCCCTTTTAACTTTTCAAATGCATTCTATTTCTAGCCATCAGATACTCTGTAAGAACAGATTCAAATTATCACTATTCATTAAATTAACAGCATATAGAAACTACTGAAGCTGTAACATGCTAAACAAATTAATTTCATAGCCGGTGAGACTTCTATTTTCCCTCAATGGAAATATATAGCTTTATTAATGTACTGCCCTGTTTCTGTTTTACTTCTATCACCTAGCTTATAAAGTACATCTTTAATTATAATTTGTTGCTTCAACTTAAAAAAAATTAACAGTGTGTATGATATGGAGGTATATGGTCATTCCTCTTCAAATGTATCTCCAAAGAAAGATACAGAGGGTCAACAGGCATAACAAAAATACTAATTATTACTTATTACCAGTGAAATACATATGGAAACAAGGAGATACCACCTCACACCCAAGAAAATGAACCAAATCAAGACCAGAAACAATCACTGGTGAAGACATGGAGAAAAGAAACCTATATACACTACTGGTCAGAATATAAACTCTTCCAGGCACTATGGGGGTTTCTTACAATATCAAAAATAGATCTGCCACATGAGCTAATAATTCCATTCCCGGCTATCTATCTGAAAAATAAAAAATAAAAAATAAACACTACTTCAGAGAGATATATGTGCTGCTAGGTTCACTGCAGCACTATATACAACAACCAAGGAAACAACCTTAGTGCCCAATGACAGATGAATGGATAAACATGGTTAATATAGACAATGGAATACTATTCAACTCTGAAAAAGATGGACCTTGCCATTTGTGACTAACTGTAGCAATCATATATGTTTAAATTCCACAAAATTTGAGGTTAATATGAAGCACTTTTTCAATCTGAAATTATTAAATAGCATGTCACAGGTCAAAGACTTACACTTGAAGCTAATGATTCTTAGGTTCCAAGACCTCTTGAGCAGGGGCTCCTCCAAGCCCAACCAGGAATCATAGAAATGTGTTAATATATTGTATGATTCTGTAAAAATTACTAGTGCACAATATTTTCCTATTCTTTTTTATGAAAAGGAACCCCAAGATAGCACAAAGCTAGCTTCCACAAAAATCTGTATCTTCCCCACTAGGTTAGCAGCCCCCAATGTGGGGATTCTGGATCAAAAGAACAAAACAGTAATTTTTGTTTTTTTTGTGTGTACAGCAAATAAAGCAATTCACTTCATCATTTTAGGATTTAGTGTGCCCTGCCCTAGAACCCAATGTTCTAGAATGCATGTGTCCTTCATTTGCTAAGTCCCTTGTCTCTCACCTAACAGTAACCATCCTTGCAAGTGGTACTCCAGAGAAGGCTCACTTAATGAGTAGTGGCTTCAAGAATAAAAGACTTAGCTATAACAACAAAAATATGTTTTTCATTAAATACAAAACTGAGCTGGGAAAAACCAGCCAACAGGCAGGTGTATCAGTTGTGAAATTCCCTTGAGCTCTTTAACATCCACATCAAATTGCACTGAATTTTTCTACACTAATTACCTATTATTGAAGACTAAAGAATTATAACAAATAATTTGCCATGGCAGCAGATAGAGTGCAGATGTTGTAAGGAAAGAATGAGGAATATGAAGTATAAAATCAGGCCAAAGAAATTCACAAATTCTCAATTTTTTAAAATAGCAGAGAATGTTTTTTTGTACTACAGGGATTATAATGGTGAAGGAATTTTCCTAGGACTGGAAGGCCAATTTTAAATTTAGTTAGGAATCTCTGAAAGCAATGGCAAATGAAAAGCAAAATGCTGGAGTCTAATTATTCAATTCATGTAACTTTCTTGGAAGCAGAGATCACATGTTAGATTTTTTTTAATGTTTCAGATCACATTATCCCTAGTCATTGATTTGTTTTTCTTACAAGGAATGTACCTACAGAACCCCTTAAAGCTATATTTGTACCTCCCTTAACTATCTGTCATTTTTACCTCATACTTCCTTTTAGCCTGCAAATTCTTCACACGTCATACCTGCTCTAGAGCTAGCATGCTGCAAAAGTAGAGTCAAGAAATATAAGTTCCCTTTAGGTCACTTCCTCTGTAAACTTTCCTAAATCACACATTCCCTATCTTATTGGAAACCAATGCCATTACTATTAAAAGGACATATTCATGTAAGTGCCATAGGTGTAAAATAAAGCAATCATTATCTCTATAATTGCTTGACACATTGAATTGAATTACCTTTTCCCAAAAATAAAAGCAAATATTTTGTCAAAAGTAAAATGTGATTAGTGACCAAATTCTTCAGTTTTGAACTTATGACTGCATTTATAGGACTGTCCTATAAATACAGAAGGGTACTATGATGAAAATCAAAACCAAAAAACTCCTTGAGTTTGAAAAATAGTAAATATCTTGAAAGATACCACCCTGATGCTAAGATTCATTTGCTGGTGATAGAGGACTTACTAAACACAGTGTCATAAGTTTCAAATTGCCATCTTTTCCATAACATGCAAGAGCTTTCTGCTAAAGTTAGGAATGCATATCTCCCCGACCAAACAGCATCCACCAATTATAACTTTATTCTACAAACATTTGGTGTCTCTTTTCTGTCCATGTGTGTTTGGCCTGTGAAGCTTTCAGTATAGAATGCTAGCAAGAGAGCAGAAGGATCCATTCAATGTCACTAATGTTAGAGAAATGAAACACCTCTTGTATAAAAACTCTTAAATTTCTGGGCCTGACTCTCCAGCTCAGGCATTTCCCTCTTTCTGTGATTACCAAGCACTGGTACTATATGCTGTTTCTATTCTGAGCTCCTGCAAGGGCATTTTCAAGGGACCGTGTTATTGATGACCCAGAAGCAGAATGAAAACTACAGTTACCTGCATATGACTGTACTGGCTATCAAAAATACTCAGACTTTCCTTTTAACCATGGCTTTATCGATTCATTGGAGTCCAAAATAAATATCTAATAAATGTGGGTTGTTTGGTAAAACATAAAAATTACATTAACAAGTGGAATTAAAATGACAAAGGAATTCCTTGTAACACAAAGTTAGTCATTTCTGTTCAAAGCAAGCCATATTTATTTTTGCCAGCACGGGTCACTTAATGATGATGACAAAAACCGAAGGGTTAAATGAATACAATTTTGTAAGGTGGTTATCTGTGTGTACTCCCTACAAATTTTGAAAAACAAATGCCTGTAGATGAAATTACCTTTTGCTTCTATTAATTCCTAAGGAACACTTTCAGGCATAAGCAAATCAAAAGTTACTGTCACTTAATTTTCTCACTAGAAACTATACAAACTCATCTCAGAGTGAACAAATATGTCTGCTAAGGGGCTCATGTTATCTCCTAATCAGTGAGCAGTGATTTCTGAGATGACAGCTCAGAAATGTTCAAGTTCAGCATTGTCAGAAACCTAATAAGAAATAGCAAATCATTGGTTTCATTTTTCTATGAAGTCAAATTAAGATACAAAGTGTATTTTTGCCACATTAGTTAGTATTCACTCTTTAAAGAAGAATATGTAAATAAAAGGTTCTATATACTGTGATATTGTAGCCTTAATTTTTTTTTAAGTTAATATCACAGCAAAACAAAATGTGCAGTCTATTTCCTTCTCATGTGCTCTATCAACTGTCATCAGCTTGGACTATAGTTTGAGAGGGGCTTCTCTAAAGCGAAACTTCACCTTCCACCCAGACTTACTGTTGAAGTGACTTATCACGGCTTCTTTGTTACCTCTGTGATTATATGACTTTCTTGTTTATGATCCTAATATTCTATACAGAGGAATCTGAATTATAGAGATGTCACTCTTTTCATAGAACTTAAGAGCATTTTTATAGGACAAGGAGATTTTTCAGTTGAAAGAATAAGAACCTGAATGAACCTGAATGTCAGGTATTATAATATATATATGATATATGTGAATGTGCACCATATTCAACACAGAATCTTTTACACCTTTATGAGTCATTATAAAGTTTACTTTCTGAAGTTTGTCCTGGACCATTTCAAAACTGACAGAAATGTTGAGTTTTTGAATTTTTTTTTTAAAAAAGTAACCTCCTTATACTAAAAATTAACTTTTAAATTAACTTCATTTCCAATATGTACTATCTCCATCAGCACTGACTGACTTTTCCACACACACACACAAAAAATCCTTGAAATGTTGTATTGAAGAAGACATTCCTTCTTGAACTCACCGGCATTTCTTAGCACTTAAAAAATTCCTATTATAATCAATTTGAGATCTATGTGAACTTCCTCCTTTAGTGATTGCTGTAATTCTTACCACATGAAACAAGTCACACAGTGGTATCACATCTGTCAGGTAGTCACTTAATACTAGATGCTTGCAAGTGGTTTAAAAAAAAAAAAAGACTCACCTCTCCTTGTTTGGGGATGTTGAACTTGGAAAGCTTGGCTTTGGCTCTGGCGGACTCTGACTTGGTGGCTGGGACTCCCCTGTACGATGTACAGTGCACACTGGTTTCCGTGGACGACTTAAGTTTCGGAGACTCATCAGGAGCCTGATCTTGGCCATCCATTGGCCGCACATAAGCAGTTGGTTTCTGCTGGACCAGGCTGGGTTTCGAAGCCAAGGATGGAGGAAAGTTTTGAACACAGTGTCCGCCACCACTGTGCTTGGTTGCCATAGCAGATGGTCTTTCCTGGGTCTGAAGACCCACCTCTACATTGCACACTTGTTTGGCCCGTGGTTGCTGTCTGCCAACACCATCTCCAAGCAAGGTCCTGAGAGAGCCCTGTTGTGCTGAATTGGAAGAAGCAGCAGAAGCAGAAGAGGAGGAAGAAGAAAAAGAGGAAGAGGAAGATGAGGATGAGGGGCTGGACACACAGTGATTTGATTTTTTATTATGGTTCTTTGGGTTAGAAGATTTGTGCAAATCAAGGAACCTGTGTCCATGCTTACTTGCTCTCTGTTGGCCATCAGACGGTGGATGCCCAGACTTTTGCCAGCCCATGGCGCCCCTCTTACTCTGCTGAACAGGGATAGATGCTGGTGTAGAAGATGTAGTGCTACAGACAGATGAAGGCTGGGTCTGGGCTCTTGAATCTGCAACAAAATGTTCATCGATCTTGTTCACAGAAGCCTGAGGAAGGCCAGGTTTGGGAACGCCAACGAGATGACTCTGATTAGATCTATCAGTTAAAAAGTCTTTCATTTCATCATAATTGCCTAACGTATTCTGGATCCGGTTGGAGAGCTCATCCCCTTTGTTTGTCTGGAGAGAGAAAAACACAACATCCACACTATTGTTAGAGACAATAGAAACATGGGAAATAATAGAGAGGTGCCTTCATCAATTACAAAACCAGGATTGCTACATCCAGTATGAGAGTGGAGAACTGAGATCAAGTTGGCATGATCTGTAAAGATGTCCATCAAGACTCTTCATCACCCAGAACCAGAAATCTGTTCACTGCCTTCCAGTACATAAAGGGACTCTATCCTTGGCACTTGATTGTAAGTAGAATATTTTCTGATACTAAAACTTTATGAAATGGTCCAGATTTTTCTTTCCAGGATTAGTTTGTTTTCTTTTTCTGTTAGTCCCACTGGAAGCTTTTCTTGAAAATTCACATTTGATTCAAAATGGTACAATTCTAATTTCTAAATACATAACTATTCTTTTTCAGAAACCCAGAGTGACAGGCCAAATAGTCACAGAGAAGTTTAAAATGAACATGGGGCTAAGCTACGTAAGAAGCTGCCTAAGATATAGGTAAATTTGAAAGATATTTCATTTTGCAAGAATAGTTATTTTTCTGGCCTTTGGCATTAAGAGACAGTCCAACAACTCTTTTATTGGATGTAGCAGGTATCCTGACCCTAGTATGATCCATGTGTGTCAAGTATGAAGCCCAACCTTTTTTTTTTTTTTTTAAGATTTATTTATTTGCTTACAGAGCTGGGGTACAGACCAGAGGTGCAGGGGTGGTAAGAGGATTCACCAGAGACAGAGTAGGAAGCAGAACAGGCAGATCAACGAAGTACACTGCTGAGGGAAGCAGTGGGCGGGTCAGGAGAGGTCTGCTGTGCCATGTGGTCACTTCCCCAGCAGGTGGGGATCGAACTCATGGGGAAGTGGCTTTAGTTTCTCAGGGCTGTGCTTTAACCTGCTGCGCCACCAGGGAGGGCCAAGCCCAACCTTTTTTTAACAGCATTTGTTTCCTAATAAATACCTTAGAAACAAACCAAGTGTTATTGACTTTGAAAATCAATGCAGATGTGGTCTATATTATTGACAAAAATCTCTGCAAGCAGATCTCAATATTAAACAAAAGTTACATTTTAATGAGGAAATGGTCAATAAAAATGTGTGAAGTAGACACCAAGATTTGTGGGGGAGGACGCCATTCTTAGTAACTGAGTAAAACAGGCAGAAAACTGAGGCTGAGCTGTCAGTTCTCCTAGTTAAGACTGCTCTCACAGTCCCAGGTAGGAGTGAGGGGAGGAGATGAACTGAAAACTGTCTACCTTGTAGGGCTCACTGAAGAGGGAGTAACTCGAATTAAAGGTTCCATCATCCTGTTGAGTTTCCTGATTTCTTCTTTCTCGTTCTTTCCTCCGTAACACATTTCTATCTGGTTCATAGACACTGCATTGGGAGAAAGAAAAGAGAACAACCACACACGAGAAAATTAAAGACTAAAGCTCATTCTAACATTCGCCTGCGTACAGAAGTCTGGTTCATGGACAAATGGTGATGATAAGAACATGGATCAGATAAAAGCAGTCTAATCAAGCTGGAGGAGCTCAGCTGTCTCATAATTACATTCTTCAGGAGGAAAAACCTCTTGAGACAAGTTCCAACCAGTATTAGACCTCTCTGCCTGCAAAGTGAAAAAGGAAATACCTAAGCAACTCTGACAGGAGAAGATGGAAAGTAATCTTAAGGCAGACACTAATTACAGTGATGTGTAAATAGAAATTATGAGTGTATTTCCTCTAAAGACACAGCCTCTGAATGTTCTATGTGAATGTTCCTGTTTTCTTTCTTTCCTTTTGCATGCCTGTGTTTCTGTAGTGGTTCTTTCATTAACTAGCTCCCTAAAGGGCTGTTAAAACTCTATGCAGCTGTGGTTTTCACAGTTACAGGCCTTCTTCTGATCTCTGTTAATCAGTCAAGTCGTCAAACTACCACTGAATCAATTCTTCCTTCTGATATATTTGACACTATCACTCCTTCTAACTGTGAAAAATGTGCTAGGCGGAAACAGTCAGGCAACAAAGGGAGAGAATGGGAATTGAATTATAGTGTGTCATCAAGGAGCTCAGTCTTTTTCTAAGGAAAATTAATATCTATTCTCCAAAATACAATTATGAAGGGACCAGGCACCCAATAACTAAGACTGAGGAAGAAACAGTGGTCCTTCACCCTAATGAGGAGAAAATAATGAATAAGAAGTGCCCTGTTTAGTAAAGGAAAAACATGCTTGCTTTTTCAACACACAACATAAAGAAATCTAGCCTCAGTGTAGACAAGATTTAATATGATAATTGTAAGGAGCTGGTGTGTCCCTCAAAATAAGCACTGCCTTCATTTCATAGCAGAAGCATTTAATTCAAGTGACCCTGTCACCCTTTTGCTTTGAGCTTCCACTTGATCCAGTGGACAGGTAACCTGAGCAGAGAGCCAGGACAACCACCCACTAACTATAATTCTCTCCCCACCAGCAGCCACGTACTGCTAGAAAAGTCACACACCTCTGCACCCTAGTAACGTCATTGTAAAACAGGAATGCTTTATAGTGTTAAAAAGTTTAAACTCAAAGATAATCTATAAACAGATTTTGAAATAGCTTTAGGTGCTCCAAAGTATTGCTATTAAGATGTTGCTAATAAAGGAATCTGAGTCAAAAGAAACTTATGAAAACAAAGTGCTTTATTTTTCAGTTGAATTGCTATCTTGAGTAAAAGTGAATATTTGTGTCATGTAGCCATAGAAGGCGCAAATAAAATAATCACAGAATAAATATGCTTATCCCCCTAACTATCCTCTTGTGGCCAGAATATATTTTGAATTTCACTAAGAGGGAAAGCAAACATGCTTCCAGTGAGGCTGTGAGAGCACCTAAGGCATTTCATTTAAATTTAAAATAAGGAAATGTTAAAATACCCAGAACATGTAGCCTATTAGCATTTTAATTCATTCTTAGTACATTACCCAAAGTTATTATATTTGGGAGTCCAGCCAGTGACCTTCACAGACAGGCAGTCTGAAGCCACAGTTTTACCACCTGAGAGGCTCACAGTTCCAACATCACAACCACTAATTCTCTAGAATGGCTGTGGATTCAAGTGACCAGCACAGGGAGGCATGAGAAGCAAATGGCACTTATTCCTAGAACCACGCTTCAAGTTCAAAGGAGAGAATATGCTACAAAGGAGAGAAAATGTCCATACTGCTTATGGATATTTGCAGTATGTTATCCCAGCTTTCATGAACATTCCATGCTTTCTAATAGAAATTTCTCTGAGGACATAAGAATCATGCTGTGGACAGGCATGGAGTAGACTTTAACCAAGTGGAGAATCCCACTTTTACTATGAACTTGCTAACTTCTGGAACAATGCCAGCATCTCAATCATAAAAATAAGTTTATATTGCATGCGCTGTGCTATTACCCTCTCTAGAACATTCTGCCATCTGTAAGCACCTAGAGCAAAATCCATGCAAAGAGACTTCCACAGACATGCTGCCCAGCCAAGTCAATCAACCAAACACACAGTGGTATGATCAAGAGGCCTCATGTAACATGGAGCAGGTTGGTGGTCATTTAGAATGATTTCTGGGCGTCTGAGAAGATCCCCATGCCCAAAATAATACCTCCTGCATCTGCTGGCTGACGACTGAAATTCCACAACTAGGGAGTCATTCCTCTGGTTTAAGATGTCTTCACCCCTGTAAGAAACGTGAACACCACAAGAAGGGAAAACACTTTAAACCTCATCAGTTCTTGGTATCTTAGCATGCATGAGTTTGTCAGCATTTTTTCTGAAGATCAAGGCAAAGGTACAGGGATATCAAGTTCCAAAAGGGTTCAAATAGGAGGCATGACAAAAAAAATGGAGCAACAATGTGGAGTGCAGCTATAAAATTTACAAACTATTTTGTAATGCAGTTTAGATGTTTAAGACAATAGCATTAGTATGTAAGCCAAAATCAACTACACAGATCTCAGATTCACTGCACTTCCAGGGCAAGGAGTAAGAATCACTTCCTAATTTGGGGATGCTAAAGATGAAGGGGTTGATAGTCCTCTTTAACCAAACTTGTCTCATTCCCAACTCCTTTAACCTCAAGATAGCCATAAGCATTCCCAGATGCAGACCCCAGTCAGTTAAAATTCTCTAATGAGGTTTTTGTCTTCATTCCCGGCCTGTGGATTCTAACACTAAGAAGGATTGAGCATCCTCAGAGCCCTCCACATAATAACAGCCATGCACAGCTATCTTTTATGGTACTGCTAAGATGCTTGTGCCTTGCAATATCCCTACCCACACAGCCAAATAAAAATCAGATAACCAAAAATGACAACCATTGTCCTCCAGAAGACAGCAAAAGAATCCGAAAGAAAGGCAATACTTCTTGGATTCCTTCTTTGGTGTCTCTTCTTCTTTGTTGGGCAGGTTTGTAGATTCCACTGAGCATTCAGTTCTTCCTAACAGCAACTCACCCACCTCTTCTCCTTATCCTGTCCATAACCCAGCATATCATGTCAGGCTAGGGAGGGAAAATGCCATCTGCTTAAAGCAAATGTCACTGTATGAGAAAGTCTGAACTTGCCATTCCCTATCTCTCCCTAAGCATATGAACTATTATCTCTTCTACAAATAGAATTTTTTTTTATTCAAAAAGACAGTCTCTTCTCCACGGTGAGTTCACTATTCCACTAATTACAAGTGAAATCTGCGCAGGTATCATAATTCTAGAGAGTAACTTTCTCTTGATCTCTTACCAGGAAGAGTCTTTTTCCCTCCTCTGCTATTCAAACAATATGAGGACCATGTCATTCCCTTTAATAGCAAAGGATCCTTTTCCTGACATCCTGCAAGCCAGGTCAGCTTCCCAAAATATAGCTAACTAAAATTGTAGTAAATTCAGATTATTGGCCTCCTAACACAAATTAATTCAGTGAAAGCCTCCTGTCACAAGCTATATTTCTTTGTTACTAGCAGATGGCAAAATCTCTATCATCTGTGAAGTTGTTCCTTATTTCATGAAAATTACAAGAATCACACTCCTTAAATGTATGTCACCAAATGTATTTATTTATTTTGCAGAAAGTAGAGACAGCCAACTGTTACAATATTATTTATTATTTATTGCATATACATAACATTCCCAGAAAATGAAACTTCTTAATCAACTCCTTTAAAAAATATTTTGAAGAAAAAAACCAGCAAATGAAAAACAGTATAAAAACATTTTTGATCAATTCCCATTTACTTGTTTTTAATCTCTAAATTGAGGTAAACTGTAGAGCTCAGACCAACTTCAGTTATACTGGATATGCACAAATAGATGTATAAACAGTACCACAATTAATTTTATCCTTAATGAGAAGGTAACAGCAGGAAACTAAATAACAGTAAAACCTTTGAACCTCATGGCTTCTTCCTTCTACTAAGCTCAAACTATTTCACATATATGTCTCTCAATTACCTTTACAATTCCCTTCAAGAAAGACATCATGCCAAACAACCAGCCTTGTTCAAAGTACTTCTTCCTTCATGCTTACCCAGGAAGAACTATCCACAAGCCCAAAGGAGACCACACTTCTAAACTCTGATGTCTACACACTGTTAGTAAACACTGAACATGAGCCCTAAGAAGCAAAAAAGGGCAAATGCAACAGAGAGAAATAAAGGAAATCTGGGTTGTTATAATTATTTTATGCTCCCAGGACAAAAGAAAGAAACTGTGGGAAAGTCTTTGTCAATAACATACACACAGAAAGGATATATCCATGGACCATAGAAAAATGGAAAAGGGGTCAACTGAATAAATAAACAAATTACCGAGCTAAACACAGCCAGCTAGGGTTAATGGTATCACTACTTTCATCGAAGTCTACCCCTTTATCAAGCTGCTCCAACCTCTGCCCAAATTCCCTCCTGGAGAGAGAAGGACTAGAGCTTCCACAGTCCACTCCCAGAGCTGTGAACCAGCTTTGACTCACAGACTCCAGGTGAGATTGCTTCCCTCTCTTTCATTGAGCCATATTATTCTATTTAAATCTGAACATTAAAACAAATGCATTTCCAGTAGAAGAGATTCCCATCCAAGGCTTTATATACTTAATTACAACCCATGCCTAGAATCAAAGCATTTTTTTCCCTTAAAAACAAAACCATTATCTTACATATTATAGTGTCCCCATGGCTGAGGTCTAGGAAATAAGTGAATTCAAGGGAAAGAAAAATGAACAACCTCTCACCTCTTGAAGAAAGTTACCAGTAATATTCTTTATGATTCAAAACTAATGTCCTGCTCACAACAACACAAGTACAACTCACTCAATGCAAAGGAATTTCCTGAATCCCTCCTGAATGTTACCACGTATGTGCTGGGGGAATGAATAGAACTGAGGCTGCCCCTCCTGCAGCTGACAAGCCAATGGTCGATGGGACACGGAGGAGAAGGAGAAAGGGGCCAACATCAAGCAAAGAACATTGACATCATGTGGCCATGGGGAAGGGCCATGAGGAACCTGGACTGTTTCCTGCAAGAGATCAGTTTTGAACTGGATATTTAAAAAAAGGAGAAGAGCCAAGGAAAATAGAAGAGCTTACAGTACAAGATACATAAATTACTATTACATGGCCTCTGAGAGTATTTGGACCCTTCCCTCCTCACAGCATTCCACCCAGCACAAATGACGTATTTAAAGTTTCAGACCTTTTTTCTACTGCTAAGCTGTCATTGCTGCCTCACCCAAAAAAGTCCAATTGATCCCTTCCTGAAAGCAGGTCTGATATGTAGGGAACAGATTGAGGTCCCAGAGAGAAGAGAAAGGTACCCACACTCCTATTTTTTATAGTTCATGTGAGGATTAGCCTAGGACAACTTGATCTCTCAGGGGAGACAATTTTTTCAGTCACAACAAAATTATAGTCCTGGGACAATATGCTAATCTACCCTAGGGTGTGGGCTGGCAGCTGCAAAGGCAAACAGGAAGAAAACACTAAGAGAAGAATATTTCATAGAAACTCCCGTTCTCCACAAGTACAATGTCAGCTACTGTGTATAATTAAAGAAACTTAATCAAACACTCCAAAATTATAACAATTGCTTTACATTTAATGAGTCAAAGTAATTAACATCTCATTATTTATAAAGAAAATGATAAAAGATCACTAATTTGTAGCGATCTTTCTTGGAGAAAAACAAGGCTGCTTAAGTTTCTTTTCAAATATTCTCAGTTTATAGACAGAGGTAGTAGGCTGAACGGCAGAAAGGCGGTCATGGAATAAGCAGATGATAGAAACACTTGAAATTGAGAGAAGATGGGGTAGGGTCAGAGTTTGGCAAGGAGGCAACTATCTTCCCAATGGAAACTCCAATTGTTGTAACTGTGGTAGTAGTTATGGTGGTTTTGAGGGTAAAAAGGGAGGTGGTAGTGGTTAGAGACCTGTTGAAGAGTGAGAACTGCCTATAATTAAGGCTTAAGTGCATTAACTATGCTCTGCTTATGTATACTGGGATTTTCTGTGTCAAGTAACTTGAGTTTCCATACCAGGTCACTCTATCTCCTCCACCCATTCCCCCTCTCCACAACCACATTACACACTGGCTCATCATCAGCATTCCAAGTGACCCTGGAGAATATTCCTACCATGGACAGCTCAAAAGGGTCGTCCAAAACGTTTGCTTGTTTGGCTGACTACCAAGATCACACCAATCTTAATTTTGAAACTCTCTTTTGAGAGTACTTATCACTGCTGTATGATTGACAATCTGTTCTATGACAGGCATAGTACTGAGGCACTTCACCCATAAATAAATTTATCTACAGATATTCCGAAGGAAAATCTCCTTTGGAGGACCTATGCCTCTTCCAAGCTCCATCAGGTCCATATTAAATTTTGCTAATAACAACTATGCTTTATTATTACATGCAGCCACTACACAAAGCACTTTGTATGCATTATTTCACTGAATAGTCTTTCAAATCCCAAGAGACATTATCCCATTTGCCAGTGAAGTAACAAGAGGCTCTAAGGTTAACAAACTTGTCCAAGTCACAGCCAGTGAGCAGCAATGCTGGGGTCTGAAGCCAGGCAGTCTGGCACCAGAGACAGAATTCTCACACTCTGTTCCACTGGATCCCTGGGGAGCTTGTTCACTGACAGGCTTTGACAAATGGTTCTTGCATCCTTTGTTAGTAAGTGCTAGGCAGAGAGAGTTAATTTTCAGATCATGACAATTTCAGTTCATACTTCTAAGATCTGCTAAATCTCTTCAATTAATATGTATTAAGAATTCTTCTAAAACCTATAAAATATAACTGGGATAAGCCATTTGAATGAATCAGCACTAGCAATTAACTAATACTGTAGGCCCTGAATTCTGTATGGTGAATTCCTTAAGAATTATGAAATATCAGAGTAAGTGCTCTTTATAATAGAACAAGCAGACAAGTCACTTCTCCAACATGGTACTGGGCACTTATCAGTTCCTTACTGATCATTTTACTGAGTCCCAACTCCATTTCTAACTCAGTGGAAATGATGACTGTTCCAAATCTCTCTCATAAATACACTCCAGTGAGTTTTTAGAGAGATGACAGATAAATGACAGCTTTGCATTTCCAAGGGTTAAATGCTTCTCCTGAGGGATCCTAAGTCTTGGTGCCATGAGAACAAGTGTCAGGTTCTAATGGAATTGTTCCATGATAAATACACCACCTGGCTGTGTGACAAGCAGCTTTCAAAGAGCCTTTCCACATAGTATAAACAGCAGAAGTTAATTTGAGTTTCTTAACAGGACCTTTTTCCTTTACAATATAAAAGTGCCTTGGGATGAAACAATTACTCTGATTTACCATCTTCTCCTTGGTAGAATATAAAGATGCAGCACAGCCTCACAAAAGCAGTAACTTAACCAAATGAGACCCACCTGCAAAGTTCCTACTATGCTATTTCAAAGAGCCCAGGTGGGGGCACATAGGTGGCATCAATCATAGGTCCCATCACGAGAAGGATGCTTACTCCCAGAGCTTTGTGTGTGCGAGCCAATAAATTATTTTTCCTCCAGTAGAATTTCATTTTCACTTTATAGCATCAGTTTCTAAACTTCAGGAATTTTAAAAACACATACAGGAAGGGCCCTATTTCATAGCATGTTTATCTTTTAACCATGATGCCCTTCCAAACAACCCCTATATAGCCCTTTTGGCTTATGGGCACGGTGCTTCAAGTCAGAAGAAAAATGGGTGGTCAAGTCTTCTCATCTAAACCTTCACATTTCAGTTGGGTCAGGCTCCTGCCAAGCAGTAACGTAATCAAATGAGACCCACCTGCAAAGTTCCTACTATGCTATTTCAAAGAGCTCACTCCCAAGTGGGGGGCACTCTGATGTTAGCCATTAATGAATGGCTTGTGTTCTTCCTGAATCAAACTTCTTATCTTCTTTTCCTCCCAGAACCATATTGATAGGCACCATCCTTTTGAAATGGGATTTCTGAAAAGGAGTAAGCAAGCATCAACC